AACTGCCATGCGAATCTTTAGCATTGAACAGAAGTTGCTTAAAAATATGCTATGTATGTATCAGCCAAAATATTGTCAAAATTGAGGAGCTCGATGGCGCAGGTGGTTAGCGCGTTCGGCTGCGATCGTTGAAGTTAAGCAATTTTCGCAGTGGTCAGTCATTGGATGGGTGACCAAAGATCTTCTATCTCGAGTTGGTCCCGGCTGCATCTGCAGTCGTTGGCACCCGCCAATCCGCACTGGGCCCGCTTGATGGATCATGGCCCAATGTCCCTATTCCATTCATAGGGAAGGCCTGTGCCTCAGCAGTGGGGACATTAATAGCCTGCTGATGATGATTGTCAAATATTTCTTGTTATGTTAAAATTTTATTTTTTGTACATAGCAGATGTTCGTTTGACAACGAGGACATAAAAGAAAAAGGGAGGGAGACCTTTGCCCAGTAGTGGGATATAAATTTAAAAAAATATTTCAATGCTATTTAAATTAAACCTTTTCCCCCTTTTTAATAAACGAAGAATAAGCTTGAATTACTTACTCTATGTTTTGTCTCTGTTCATTGAGATAGAAATGGCATTTGAGTGATATGAACAAAACACTGGGTAACTAGTCTAAGTAGTAAGTAGTCTAAATAAAGGGGTTTAAGTATAATAATATTAGTTATGTTTTTAAGTATTTAACTGCTAGATGTTTAAATCTAAAGAAAAGTTTATAAAAAAAAAATCCACGCGGACCAGGTAGAAGACGGGACTCGACCCCGCTCCTATTATGCTACCGAGGCCCTGATGGCCTCGTCGATTTTTTCTCTAGCCTTAGGCTGCAAGGCAGCGCCATCTCTTCGCATTGTAGGTAACCCACAATATCTTATATATAAAATTCTCGTGTCACAATGTTAGTTACCATACTCCTCCAAAACGGCTTGACCGATTTTTATGAAATTTCATATGCATATTCAGTAGGTCTGAGAATCGGCTACTATCTATTTTTCATACCTCCAAATGATAATGGTTCTCCAGCATCATTTTCATTTATTTGGACATTTTTTTTTATTTTTTTTTATAATGTGGCACTAAAAAATACAAACAACCCTAAATTTTCATCCTTCTACTACTAGCCTCTATTTTTATGGCGGTACGAAGTTCGCTGAGTCAGCTAGTATAATATAATAATACGACTTAGGAATCGTTCAAATATACTTTTTTACTAAGTACTTAGTTTTCTACTCTGTGGCTATGCGATGACATTCAGCCCTTTTGTACCATCCGTACTCACATTTGGAATGATTATAAGTTTTTTTCACAAGTCATGCGGAACGGTTTACTGTTGTAGGCAATTAAACGAATTGTTTTTTTAAACCGGTATAGTACTTCATTATCATTACGTAATTGATAAATAATGTATATGGCGCTATTTAAAAGATTTTTTTGATAGCAAATACAAATTGTATCATCAGACATAATATAAGTCTTTTAGCGAAAAAAAAAGGTTTTAAGCGTATTTTGCACGTAAACTTATGGCTGTTGCCATTCACCTAGCTATATCTGAAAACAGCATAGGGTACCAACTTGATTACTTTTAAATTAAAAAGAAAAACCAAAACAGTTGCCAGATATTCGTTTACCGGCTGTTTTGTGGTCCAGTACCCATTGGACCCTTGAGATTCGACCCGAAAACAAAAAGAGCCCATTGGACCTCATTTATATGGCCCATTAGACCTTCTTAAAAAGTGACGGCCCCGCTGCTGGATGTGTCTTATTTTTAGGACTAAGTAGTCTCTAAGTCACCTTGGGCTTAATATAATAGACTAAGTCGTTTTACTTTGCTAATTTGGTTGAAAATTGTTTTAATCGCCACTTCTAAATTTAAAAATAGTACCTAGCTATAATTAACTTTTGTTAATTAATAATATTAATGTGATGGAAGTTGACATCAACACATGTATTAAATTTTTGACGTCATCTTTCCATTGACGACACTGTATGAAACAAAACAGGGAGAAAAAAATAGCCCTTGCTGAGTTTCTTGCCGGTTCTTCTCAGTACAAGGTCTCCCGCCGTAGATTTACGAACCGATGGCGTAGCGTTTGACTTTCACAAGAGCTTGTAAGAGCCTAGACTGAGTAAATGAGTTTGAGTTTTAGACTTAAGACTAAGTACTCTAGTAGTACGGCGGGCTGTTTCTGCAACTCGACACCGAGTGCCTATTTTGCGTGGGGATTAGCATCAGTCCTGCCATCCCAGCCCCTCTAGAAAGCTCAGCAGTCCCCGGATATTGCTGCAGGCTTCTACTAGGATCCGCGGACTTCCCATTAGAGAAGGTCTGTGGATGGATGGATGTCTGTTATAATGTCTGTTTAGTTGTTTCAACTGCATACCTAAGCCATTTTTTATACTAACACATCGCAGAGCAATCACACTGCGTATACCACTGCTTATTATGAAATGTTTTCACGGTTCATAGTATGACCCCCCACCAAAGTAGTCGGACAAGATCGAAATCAAAAGCGCCTCATTAGTACTTAATCAAAATCAAATGCTTTTTTCGAATGACATAGAATGCCTTGAGAATTCAAATGTCTGATTGTACCTCAGTAAGCGTACTGCTGTACCCTTAGCGCGAACCAATATCGAATTCGTATCGTTTGCGAGTGCGAAATGTCATTGTCAAATGTGTACTTTTTTTAGTTATCGTTATGTAGTTTGTGGCGCTGCTGTTTAAGTTATCATACAAAATTTGACATTGACAATTCTAAGTCGCAAACTATTCGAATTCGAAAATGGTTCCTGCTAGGGGACTGTTAGCTTTCCTGAATATATAGTGAAAGCCTTTCGATAGATAGATCCGAAGAAACTGCATAAAAATTTGGTGAATAGCGTGCCGGATTCAGGCATGAAAGGTTCCTCAACGTCCAAGGTAACATATTTTTTTATGAATGATTGAACGAATTCGGATCACCAGGGAGTTGTTTGTTAGTCAAAGCTTTTTTCCATTAAGATTATTGAAAAATTTCACTTATAATTTTTACTTCGTCTTACTAAAAATTAGATAAAATCGTTACAAATCTTGCCGTTAAATGCTTTAAGCATTTAAAAACTTTAAAAATTATTACATCTTACGGAAATGGTGCTATATCCATTTTTGATTGCTACTTACAATATTAATTATACGTTAAGGGTATTTACAAAAAGCTTAATATCTCTGCCGGCAGGTATAATTGTATAAAATTATTTGGCGCCGCACTAAAACCAGTTCTTATGGTAGTTCCCATTTAGGGCCACCATAAAATTTTCATTTTCTGGGAACAGTGACGAATATTTTGGATGTCTATATTCATATAATAAATTGCTTTTTATAACAAAACAAAATTAGAACTGGTAATAAAATAAAAGCATGCACATATTATTGTATGTAACAGAAATATTGTGGGTTTAATATTGTTTTTCTGAAGACGCAGTCCTGAAAAGGCAGAAATTTTTACTGAAGATGCAGTCCTGCAAAGGCTGCGTAACGTCAGATAAATAAATTCAGTGCATATAACCCGTAAAAATCGTTTTATTTAATGAGTGATGCGCGTGAAAACCTAAGTAACAATTAGGAAAGTTAATTTAATAAGAAGTCATTTGTATAAGCTTATAGATACTTTCGTACCGTATTTTTTTCTATTCCTGGCATTTGTATAACTCATGGCTACCCCAATTCCCCGTATCAACTAACGAAATAGAGCGTACAATTACATTTGAATAACTTAATTGGGCTATGTGGGAAATAGCCTGTTATGTTTGTATGTAGATCACTAATAGTGGAGTGGAGACGGTCGGTTTGCTACGAAACGAACCAGATTTGATTATTATTTTTTGATTAGCTTAGTAGATGTAGGTCAGATTTTGGTCGAGTAAACTGTGTACCTACTTGCTCTCCCTTTTCTGTTTGTATTATGTTATCTTTTAATTAGTTAATTTGTATTATTTTATATTTTTGTTCCTTTTCATAATTTACGTACTAGAGAAGGATATGAAAAATTACATGAGAAAAGTTGATCCTTTTAAATAACCATTTGGAGTTGGACTTCATAAAGTGTTATTGTAATATTTCCATCATCATCATCAACCCATGTTCGTCCACTGCTGGAGATAGGTCTCCCCTAATGCACGCCACTGCTCCCGATTTTGTGCTCCTCTCATCCAGCCCACTCCAGCCAGCTATCATCATCCCATCTTGTCTCAGGGCGTCCTACACTACGTTTACCGAGTCGTAAGTCGTGGTCTCCAATCAAGAACTTTCCGGCTATACTATAACATAACTTATGAATTTATACTTTTTGTAATACCTATTTCCGATTTTTTTATATTTTTGTGCGAAATCCGTTGTTCCTATCCTACGTCGAAGTTTCGAATATATTTTTTTACTTTTAGCCATTATCCACTCGTATCACAATATGCGTTTCAAGATAGTTTTATATTCAAGTGTGTGGAAATGTTAATACACCGATATCACACATATTTAAGTTAACTGATTGGTCTTATGATTCTTATTTATCTTATAATAGACTCAATAATGAAATATCGTTTCAAACCTACTATGCAAGTTCGTACTATGATCCTATTTAAGCAAGCTGTAAACATATTGTAACCGTTGGACCACTATATTATAAAATATCGTTGCCGTTGGAGTTTGGTGAGGTCATTGCATAATCATTCGTTCTTATGTCATGTTGTGGGACTTCAACAAAACATTATTTGCTATCTTGTTCAAAATACCGTGCCCGTATAATTTGCTAATGGAACCTTGGACTGCCTACTAGTAAACGTATCGAGTTTGGGCTCATTAGATTCATTTTAATATATTCTATTTAAAATAAAAAAATCACTAAAAACACGCTTTTATTAAGCATTATGAATCACGTAATATATTAATTGATTTGATAAATATTGCAATGAATAGCGCCCCACGCTTTTCAGTTATATATGTATGTTAAAATAAACTATAAACATGCATGGCTTACTCTAAGGCCCTAATGAAGTAAACAGACAGTATATTTTGTATATTTTTTGGCTTTTTGGTGGAGTAAATAAAAGCGTGTTTTTTTTAAACTATTAATTGTTAGTAATGAATAATTGCGTAAAGTAGGAATTCGGAAAACCTCAGATCCACTGAAATCGTCTAAAAACGGGAAATACAATATCTTACGTCTGCATCTTAGTGCAAAACGTAAAAAATAAATTCCCATGAAGACAAAACAGCTAAAAAAACACCGGGAAGTCGTGACACAGATAAAAAAAATAACAAGTTGTTCACTTTCAACAAAAAACCGCGCGAAATCGTCTCGCGGCGCGGCGCGGAGCCGACCGTCGTTTTTCCGATTTGAAAGTGAGTGGCGATTCCAAGTACCAGGGCGTCAGATTCTCGAGGAGCTCGATTAGATGCCTTCTACATACCTTTTGCTTGCGTCGGTGATATTCCATTGTCGACTTTGGTGAGTTCTAATAAGGTTTTTAAACAGTTGCGTTCACCACACTCGACCGTTACTGGCGTAAAACAAAACAAATATGAATGTAACAAAAAAAACCACTATTGTTTACTGAAATTGCGCAGCTACCACAGAATAATAATGTGTAATATTTAGTATTTTATTATGCAACGCTTCGTCACGGTTGCATGTCGTGCGATAAGTCTTATTAATTTTAATAAAATTCAGCGGATTGTTTGATATATCGCGTTTCGTATCCTAATCACGCATAACGCAACGGAACATAAATTCAAGTAATGATTTACGTCTATTGCTCACTGTACGATGAAAGAATGAAGTTAATTTTTTTACCTTTTATTGTCATTTTATGTCTGTCGTGTTGTCTTATTGTCATGCTTTTATTCTATTGTAAATAACACTTTCCTTTTTAATAAAACTCTAAAAAGTAATTATGGCCGCTGAGTGTGGCCGTAACACAAATATTTAGAGAAAAAAGAAAAAATATGATAACAGGCAAAAAATAGTACTTAGCAATATTTGAAAAAATCCTCTAATTTACAATCAGATTTGCTCATAAAGGGTTCCGTATAATGACAATTACATTTAACTTTTGAAATACAAATTTTCAACGTGCCGAAAAAACTCTGGCAAACATTACTTTTGTAGCGAAAATTTTTACGAATATGAGAAATACACCCAACACATCCCGCTAAAAACGGACAGCGGAGTTAGATTACCAACCTCTATGGACGGAACCCTTATCAATATCAAGTTTGCTAAACGTGATTTACGTTATTAATGATCCTTTTCTCTGAAATAGTAATTACTTTAATTAATTTGAAGCCTAATATTTTATTTGCTCGGCAAAAGATTTAGGAACGGACGACCAAATACCTGAATGAAAAATCTGTGACTCCCAAGCACAAATTATTAACTGATTACGATGAGTTAAGTCATTTGCCTTATAACTTACTCGGTATCGATTGTAAACAACAATAGTAATTAAAATTTATTCCACGTGTCAATCTAGGCCTAGCCTGACTTCTAAATTTTTAACCGGATATATTTTTTTTAATTTTCAGTTCCAGTTTCGATTTTCAAATCTTTTTTTTTTAAATCTATTTAAAGACAAAGTCCTCTGTCAGTACGCTTAGATCTTTCAAAGTGCGCAACAGTTTTTTTTTTGATGAAGTTTTCAATAATAGATAGAGTGATTTTAAAGGAAGCTTTATATGAATAATAATATATCGCCGAGAGCAAAAACTTTAATCAATAACAGTTCCAATGGAATTGTAATTGTAATGAAGAAATCGCAATACTAAAGAACTTCTCAAAATAACGACAAGAAACTACAATAGAACTTCACTTTGTGAAATGAAAAAGGTATTATTAATGAATTTAGCCTGAAGGTTTAATATAAAAAAACCGCCGTGCTATGCCTTCAATTACCACTAGGTAGGAATAATGACCATGTACCAGGAGCAGCAGCAATATGTTAATGAGTATAATTTTCCTTTTTTCTGCAGGCAGTGAGGTGTTGCCCGCCGGGCGATGCTGGGCGGGGCGGCGGGGGGCGCGCGCTCCCGCCCGCCCTCTGATCTCCAACAAGGTATGCCACCCTGGTACTTGTTTTTAACACCAGTGCTGATTTTTTAATAATAATGGCGGATGCTTTGATTAAGTATGAACCTCGATTGAATTCTAAGCTCGTTTTTGTTAGGGTTCCGTAGTCCTGACAAGGAACCCTTATTTATAGTTTCGTCATGTCCGTCTGTCCGTCCCCGGTTTTGCTTTGAGACTGTTAGCACTAGAGAGCTCTCATTATCAATCATGTAACCGGGGTTTTATTTTTCATCCTCTACCCCATCTGGGGAGCTTTCGCCAATAGTTTCGTAAAATAACTATTTGTAATTCGCGCCAATAACTTCATAAAAAAGACCTCATGTTTCCGTGGCGCCAAATGGCAACGTAAACTTTTCCTAAATACCCTCATTCAGCATTTTTTCGGATCGCGCTTACTCCATGCTTCATAAGCCTCGATGACACGGGGCGAGTTACAAGCTACAAGCCAGCGAGTTTGCTAGCAGCTTGTAAACTCGCCTCATGTCATCGGCTTTTTTACCATCTGCTACTCGATAATACGGGGCGAGTTTCAAAGCTACTAGCGAAGTCGCTGGCTTGTAGCTTGGAAACTCGCCCCGTGTCATCGAGGCTTTACCCCACCCCACAGTACCCCTAGCACGAACCAATATCGAATTCGTATAGTTTTCGAGTCCGAAATGTCATTGTCAAATGTGTACTGATTTTTAGTTCTCGCTACGTACTTTGTGCCTCTGCTGTTCAAGTTTACAAACAAAATTTGACATTGACATTTCGGTTTGCAAACTATTCGAATTCGATAATGGTTCGTGCTAGGGGTACAGTTCTCATTTACGTAAATGTTGATGTCCAGCCGTCATCTTATAATTAATTTTATTGTACCTTAAACGAGTGAAGCATAGAAATTACAAAGCATTACATAAATTAGCATAATCTGCTTTATATTGTTATTTTTTAGTGTCCGCACACAAACCACTTGTATAATACCTAACCGCTGAAGAGATTTCGATTATTGGTTTTGAATACTTTTTGGCGGGATAATTAACCTAGGGTGAATGATGTATCAAAAGAAAATCGACCACCGCGATGTTTAAAATGTAGTTAAATGTGCTATAGCTAAAATACTATAAAAATGTAACCATTTAGAATTTTATAACTATTAACGGGATTGTTACCATGTACCTTATTTTTTATGAGTCTCCGAGTATTGTGTGTCGGGAACAGAATAGTGAGAATGTGACCAGTGGTATCGAGCGCAGACGACGTCAGAGGGTAGACCGATATGTCTACCAATAACATCTACCCGCAATTACTTCAGTTACTCCGTGATCATGGCGCTTGCAACAGTGCCGAAATATCGGAGACTCATAAAAAACAAGGTACATGGTAACAATCCCGTTAAAAGTTATAATGTTAGTGACCATGAAACTTTAAAACAATATATCATTTAAAGTTTGTCATATTTTACTATGTAAGTATATGATGTGACAGTAACTATAATCAAACTTAACTGTAGATGTAACAATCAACCGGCCCTAAGTGGCAAGCGCTTTTACAAAGAATGAGAGTAATTAAGATGTACTTTTTACTGATGTTCTTAACACAAATGATGGTTTGACAATATTACCAGGCATTGAATTAAGCTATTCACCCAGTTAGACCAATCATGATTGGAAGCGGTGGGTTAATAAATGCGAGTATAAAGGTCACAGCTCATTAGACCCATCCGATGCCCGACCAGCACCGCCTCAACTCGTGTGGTTGATATTCTTTATATGGATTTCTATGCGATGGCGCTCACCACATCAACTACGTTCTGTCACCTGATATCCACTCTCGCAAGCTACACCTTGGTGACCACCAGTTGCTTGCATGCTTGCTGTAAACGCGGTGCTCCTTAGTGGATCGCGCGTTGCCTGCGAGCTGACAGAGCATTTCATATTCTTCCTCATCTAGCTAATTAGAACCAATTCACGTTTTTTTTTATTAAATATTGAACACATGTTTAATTTAAACCTAGTGACGATCTCTAACACACTAATTAATTTTCGTTGACAACGCGTAGTCCCAATGAACATTTAGGCTGAAAATATATCTTTTGTCCAGTATATTACAAGCTAGAAGCTTTATAAAGTGTGAACAAAGGCTTAAATATATATTTAAGGCTGTACTAGGGAGTAATTATTACGTAATTATTTTAGGGAGTAATATTAGTAATAATTATTATTATTATTATGTTAAATAGCACTAAAAACACTAAAACATAGTGTGTAGTAATATATAATGTGTAAAATACAAGTGTACATCGCACCACCTGGCGGCGAGCCGTCCACCCGTTGCCCACCCGAACGTTAGCTGTACCCCTAGCACGAACCAAAATCGAATTCGTATCGTTTGCGAGTCCGAAATGTCATTGTCAAATGTGTACTGATTTTTAGTTCTCGTTACATATTTTGTGCCGCTGCTGTTCCAGTTTCCATACAAAATTTGATATTGACATTTCGGTTTGCAAACTATTCGAATTCGATAATGGTTCGTGCTAGTTGTACTGATTGACAATGCGGCGTCCACCTGAGTTTGCTCGTCGACCACGATGGTACGTCGCGCCACGAGGCGGTGCCGGGTGGCTTTAGTGAGATTTGACCTATAAATAAACGGTACTGAGTCACAGCGCTAAAGCAGACCTATGTACTTCGTGGTCGAATGGCTTGTGACCTTGACTGCTTTACCACTGTTTTGTGTTTGGATCCCACTAGTGTACAAAAATTACGTAATAAAGGAGTTGACTCAGATTATATTTGAATTAAAGAATGATAAGGAATGTCAATAGGCAGTTGAGGATGGTACCACAGAACAAAACAAAAGACTTTCAGTACTGGTACAGTGGTACTATTGATGGCATTTTGATCCACTAGCGATACGACACGAATCGAATTTTTATTCGAATATCTCATATCAATTTGTTTGACTGTTGTCGAGTCAATTTCAATCATACTTCCTACTATGGCCTACTGTTTATGACCACTATTAAATCAGCTGAGACCGATTTTTATCACGAAAGGTAGAAGTATGCACCAGATATCGAATGCAGTTGTTGTGGGTTTAGTTTTAAAAACCATCTACCGAAGTAGAGATCATAGTAAACACCACGATCCTAATGATATGACGGTACTTATAAAAAAATTTCAAACAAAAAATAAAACCGACTTCAAAATCGAAAATGGAACTAAAAAGTAAAATATAATATAGTGGGGCGGGGTCAAGATTGAAACATTAAATAGAATTTCCTTTCTGATCGGTAAGAATACGTCTTTCAATCTTGACCCGCCCGACTTCCAAATCATGAATCATCGGTTTTATTTTTTGTTTATTTTTTTTTTATTTAATCCGTTTTTGAAAATTACATCGTCCAAGTAAACAATACCACAATTGACGGAGAAATCGGTGAACATGCATAAAAAAACATCGTGCGTGCCTTTGAAATTTGAAGGTTTCCCTCGATTTACCCGGATTCCTCCATCAGATCCCGACTTGGTTCCAACGGGACCACCTCGGAAGTGCACTATTTCGAAAAAAAAAAAACTTTTGAAAATCGGTCCACAATTGACTGAGAAATCGGTGAACATAGATAAAAAAAACATATACAGTCGAACACAGAACCTCCTTCTTTTTTTGAAGTCAGTTAAAAATATACCTGCAGAAAAACAATGAATTTGAGACTGTAATTTTACCCACGTAAGCTTACGCCTCCCGGATTCTCTCGGCCGCCTCCTTCTGTGAGACCATAGCCTCCCATGACCTGCCGCTCCCAGCATAGCTCTGACTATACTGGGCAGGGAGATATCCTATCTCACCAACCCCGTCAATGTACGGCGCCTCTTACTCCAAACAGTGCACACCTCTAGGGTGAGCTGTGCAGTGTCCTCAGTAGCACCGCACTTATGACATTCCGGTGTCTCCGCCCTCCTTATCCGGTTCGTGCATCCGTACCCGGAAAGCATCTGCACCAGCCGGAAGGTATGTGAACCCCATTTCTTCACCATCCAAGCCTTCAGCGCCGGGCTTACGGTTCGTGCATCCGTACCCGGAAAGCACATGCACCAGCCGGGAGGTGCGGTGTGATGTGACCTCCATTTCTTCACCATCCAAGCCTTCAGCGCCGGACTTATCGCCTCCACCGTCTTATGCTTTTTAGTAACTTTAACCATTTAAACAGCGCACGCAACGGAAGCGCTCAAATGGAATATTTGTGTGAAACGTGAAGAAATCACGTTTTCGCAACAATATTCATCGATGCTACACTCAAACTCATAGCATAGCATGTTTTATATAGCCTATACCTTCCTCGAGAAAAGGATTTTTTATAAATCGGACCTTTAGTTCCTGAGATTATCGCGTTCAACTTTACGAACAAACAAACAAACTCTTTAGCTTTGTAATATTAGTATACACTAGAAAGTAGGATCATGAACTAATTAGACCGTCAAAATCTTTTGAGTGTTTGGCCGTTATTTACTAATAGCGGCTGCCCGCGATTTAGTCCGCTTTTAGTTTTTTCATTATCCCTCAGGAACCTATCGCTTTTCCAGGGTAAAAAGTATCCTATGTTTCAATCCAGGTCATAAACTATACGCGTACCAAATTTCATTCAAATCTGTTAATTTTGCTTGATGGAGTAACAAACATACAAAGTAACAAACTTTCACATTTATTATATTAGTAAGATTGCCTTTCTTCCTTCTGACTAAATATTTTCTTTTTTTTTTAGGTGTATCTCGATTCCCGCTCTACTCGTTGTTCCCGACACAAGGAGCGAATCGACCCACAATACATAAAGGTATTTATGCAAAAAAAATCTTACTGCGCTGCCTTACAGCCTAACAAATACTAGAAGAAATTCAACACGATCACTAAGGCCGGGATAGCATAATTGGTCAGTGCATCCGCCCGGATAGCGCAGGGTGCGGGTTGGAGTCCCGTCTGCTGCCTGGCCGTGTTGATTTTTTCTAGTAAAATTGTCTTTAGATATAAACACCTAGCAGTTAAATGCATAATTAAATCTTATATATAAAATTCTCGTGTCACAATGTTAGTTACCATACTCCTCCGAAACGGCCTGACCGATTTTTATGAAATTTTATTTGCATATTCAGTAGGTATGAGAATCGGCTACTATCTATTTTTCATACTCCTAAGGGATAAGGGTTGTCCACGCCTAACTTTTTTTATATATATAATGTGGCATTAAATAATACATACAGCCCTAAATTTTCATCCTTCTATCACCCATATTTTTATGGCGATACGACGTTCGCTGGGTCAGCTAGTATATAACTAAAATACTTACTGCTAAAACACTAATACCATAACCTAAGCATTTTTGCAGGCCGGCAAAGTGAGGATGGTTGGTGTGGGAGTTTATAACTGCTGTACCAGCTATCTTCGCGTTTAGACTTTATCACCACTTAACATCAGGTGGGGTAGAGTCATTTGCCTACCTGGCTATATAAAAATAAATAAATAATAGCCTCTTTTTAATATTCATTTATTCATTGTTTTCAAGTCACGTAAAGTATGGTTATCATTTGACTACCTATAAATAAGTATTAAAAAATATTCATGATTCAAGTACTATAAGGTTTCCAGAAGGGAAACCTGGGTAACGCAGCTTAAAGAAAAGAACTGATAACGTTTTATAAGTATATTTCATGAGAAATTATCACAATAGAACGGAACAATGGAAGGTTTTCTAGCTTCACGCCCGTTTTCTATCTCGAAACATCGAATCCTGACAAAAGCTACTCGGATTCCATTATTTAAATCTCTATGTTTGTTTTTAATATGACTGCCACTTTACTAGTGGGGTTGCCAACCCTACTAATATAATATATAAATAATAATATAATATAGAATACTAGCAAACCAGTGAACCAAATGTGCACCAAAACCTGATTTAAAAAAAAATGTATTTAATTAATTGAGAACTTCGGAGATTTTGTGTGGTTTCGTTTGAAATTCGAGATTTCTCGAAAACCGGAAGTGCTACGTTACTCAAATCTGGTTTGTAGTCTTATCAGACTATTCTTAACTTATAACTTAAATATTCTCTTTATCTATCTCTTACGGTTTGGCCGCTGAAACAGCACCACAGACAGACAGACGGACGGACTTCTCTAATAGATAAGAGATTAGGGAGTTCAAATACTATATTAAAAAAAATAGTAGGCGAAACTGCTATATTTTGCTTAAAGCAGACTTCTGCCAGTAAAAGCTTTCTTAAAAATAATAACTTCATTATTAAGCCGTAAAGCAGCAAAAATATATTCATTTAGAAAAAAACGAGCGAGCCTTACAGTAGTCGCGTATGATGTGTGACATTTGAAACCTCACTTTATATTAGTAAAAAAAGAAATTAAACCTACTACAAAAAGACGAAGCCATTTGATCATTATGTTCTAAAATCAAATCAAATAGCTCGCGCTTTCGCGACTTCCTGTTACACACTTCCGTCCCATTTCACTAAATCACTCCCACAAATTGCAGGAAAGCGAGAGGGAAAATGTTACACATCAATAAAGTAAGTTTTTTAACCACATACTATATTTATTTCCAATTTATGCATTCTACTATTGTATCGTGATCGTATCCCTTTTTACTTTGCACCGAGCATCTCGACATTTTTCATTCCCAAGACGTTTAATTTTGCAATTATTCATGGAAGAAAATAATGGTTAAGTATGTACACAAACATACAAGCCGTCTACTTGGGTGGGTATATTAGGGAATCATTCGAATAAAATCGATATCGCCCAGCGTATGTAATCTGCGTGTGCGCACCGCTCTAGCGATGCGCTCGTAGTATCTGCACTGCAATTGTTGAATGTGGTTGTTGTCTTACGAATTTTCGTATATTTGATATGTGATTAGAAAAGCTATAATTGTGTGAATTATTACGTGTGCGATCTCCTGTGAAATACCACAAAAATACTGTGCCGTGTTTTCTAGTGTGTCTTGGAACTGAGGGACATTCGTTCGAGGGAATAAGGTAAGGCGGCTTATATATTCCTTATTTTCTGTCTGTGTGATTGCTCTTTTATACGTCTTGGGAATTCATTTTTCATTTTAATTTCCAACCCCTAATGTTGCGGATATAGCCGGTCTCGCTACAACTATATTTTTAGAGGTAACAGTATCAAAAATACTATATTCGATGGAAAAAAAGTTGGTAACCCTATTTACAAGCAAAGAGGCTGTAACGCTGCGGGCTTCACGGTACTTACGTATTGGTAAAAAAATGCTCTTTCTGTGGGCTGAGGTCTTTATTGTAATTATGTAAACCTCCATCTCAGATAATAATAATATATATACTTACACAAAAACTTAAAAACGCCATGAGATTTTTATGAAGTAAAAAAATCTTAATTCATATTTGTTTCTTAGGTTTTCACGCACATCACTCATTAAATAAAACTAGTTATTCGCGGGTTAATGCACGAAACTTTATTTATTTATTGACGTTTCGCAGCCTTTACAGGCTGCTTCGTCGGAATATTTTTTTTTCAAAAAGCTAGTTTTATTTAAATCTTAATTCCTTGGATTTTCTAATGGACAGCGTAGCAATCCCTGAGCCTTGGCTTATGTTAAGTATACATGTTTAAATATACACCCACACCTTGCCGGATTGAATCCTATTACATTTTTGGGAAGAGGTAGGTAGATACTTTGCTATGGCAACTTTATACACCTTTTCTTAAAGAGTTTTTGGCGGGATTTCATCGAGTGCGGTTGGTGTCTTATTTTAATTATTCTTAAATTCGTTTATAGTGGATATTGTGAAATAAAATTGGTGTGATTTTGTGTTACAACCATCTGCGCAATTGAAGAATTAGTGGAATCTTTAAAATATACGCTATTCCGATCAAGTGGACGTGAGAAGTTCATTGTAGTGTTGATTACCTCACAAAAGCTTATCGAAAAAACCAACTTGATAGATTTCATGCCAAACACTCCAAGAAACATTAGAATGCGTCACACCGCCATTCTAATTTAAAACAAAAGAAGATTAAGATTTGTATTTATGTATACGACTGAAGGACTTTTATCCATCCATGTTCATAAATAATTAAAAAAAAACTTAAACATTAAATTTGAGGTGCATCAAATCACCTTATTGAGTCTATGCCCTACCCTAACAGAGATAAGTTAACGCAATAATTGTGTCTCAATTGTGTAGATTTCAATAGTATTGATGACCTCCGTGGCCGAGTGGTACACGCTGGGTTTCATGTATCGCCGACTCGAGAGGTCCCGGGTTCGAATCCCGATGAGGGCAGATTAGATAGATATTTGTGTGATGAATACGAGCATTTGTACTCCAGTCATAGACGTTTAATATGTATTTCCTATATAATTATATATGTATCTGTATTCTATCCGTTACCGTAGTATTCCATAACACAAGCCTTACACTGCTTACTTTGGGGCTAGGCTAATTGGTGTGAATGTTGGAAATATATTTGACGACCTCCGTGGCCGAGTGGTTTGTACGCCGGGTTTCATGGCTGTCGCCGACTCGAGAGGTCCCGGGTTCGAATCCCGGTGGGGGCAGATGTTTGTGTGATGAATACGAGCATTTGTACTCCAGTCATGGATGTTTAATATGTATTTATATAAATATACTTATATATGTACAGTATGTGTATTCTATCCGTTACCCTAGCATCCCATAACACAAGCCTTATAGTGCTTACTTTGGGGCTAGGCTAATTGGTGTGAGTGTCGGAAATATTTATTTATTTATATAAAACAACATAGTTTTGCTTTTTTTTACTTTACAGTATTAAAAATTAGAGATGGTCGTTTTTAGATATTTGTGAAATCAATGCGCATCGGTAAATCGCATCCGATGCGCGCATCGATGCCAAGTGAATGTCAGTATCGTAGTATTACAGGATACGATGCGATATGAATTAAGACAAATGCGCGTTTTGTGTGGGTGTGTCTCTTCGATTCCATGAATCATGACTTGAAAATGTAATCGATACCATTTATTTACTTTTCGGTATGTTAACTGAAAATATTGAATGCTATTTGTTTCTTAGGTTTTCACGCACATCACTCAGGCCCTGTCAGAATACCAGCGTTGTCGTGACACGTTTAGTTACATGTCACGGCAGCATTATGATGAGGCAGGGTCCTGATTGACCGATATGAAGGCTGTTAGGTTTAGAAAATTGTGTAATGCTTACTTTTTATATATGTTTTTTATTTTAGCAGTTTATAATTTTATTGTTTGTATTTTATTGGTCAATAAAATGGTTCTCTCTCTCTCTCATTAAATAAAACTAGTTTTTACGGGTTAATGCACGAAACTTTATTTATTTATTGACGTTTCGTAGCCTTTACAGGCTCAGACTACGTCGTCAGAATCAATATTTTTTTTAAATAAAATTTTGATTTTGACGACGTAACCCGTAAAAACTAGTTTTATTTATATATTGAATGCTGGCAAAATTATTACATAAAAAAATGCACTCAGAGCGTAGGTTTTGAACGCAGTCAGTACCACAAAAAAAATTAACTACAATTTATCCATAGCATTTTGACATTTTTATGACATATTTGTACACCGTTAGCGACATCACCACTGGCACAGATAAGTTTGTTGCACTGTTGCTATAGTAACGTTGACAAAAACTAGATGGCATCGGCATCTAGTTGTAACCGATGCGTGCATCCAAACCTGGCATCGTTATTCTAATAAAAACGCCCAATCTATGAAAAATAAAATACCAATTATTGGCATGTGGGTTTAACATGAATATTGGGAGCAATTTTACTATTCTGACAAAAAAAGTAGTTAATAATATTAGTAAAATCATGAAATAGAAAAGTATTTTTGATCTATTATCACGTCACCGAAAATGTCTAGGATTGGCGAAGCCTAAAATCACCCGCAAAGACGTCTCCCGCTTGTAAAACATGCAGTCGAAGTGACACGATTTTGTACTGTTTGACGTTTTAACGAGAGCCGTGTGACGTCACCTGCGTTTTAAAACACGCCATATTTGCAAGGAAAAAAAATCCGCGGCATATTTGAAACAATGATATCTTTGATTCGAAAACATATTTTTTATTTTCGTTTTTTTTTACTGATAAAAGCAAAAGAATTATAAATATCCTCTTTTACTGGAGTCACTGTATGGACATGTTTTTGAAAACGTTAATAGGCACTTTATTTGTTAGTGTATAGGGTTAATTTTAAAACACCAACAAACTCTTTGGGGGTGATTCTGCCCATCAACATAAACAACTTTTATTATGAGACCAACTCAGAAATCGCGAAAAGAAAATCAGCTGTTTCATACATTTCGGATTAGCTGATGCACTTTTATATGAAACAGCAGATTTTCTTTCGCGATTTCTGAGTTGGTCTCATAATAAAAGTTGTTTATGTTGATGGGCAGAATCACCCCCAAAGAGTTTGTTGGTGTTTTAAAATTAACCCTATACACTAACAAAGAAAGTGCCTATTAACGTTTTCAAAAACATGTCACTAAGCCTATTGTCGTGTTCAGCACCAAAAGAGGCCGTGTTCAAAACTGATAACGTTATTGCACCATTGTCACATGATTATTAATTTACATTAACTTTTGTGTCTGATTTGTTAGCCCAAATATTCAACTTATATTAAACTAGTGGCCCGCCCTCGCTTTGCTTCTGTGTAGAGCTGTAGTGTAGACTATAGTTTTTGTTCAAAGGCTTGTATTTTACACAATGACCTTCTTCATAATAATTATAAACCTTCCCATTTCAAGCAAAAAAATTGTTGCGTAGTTTAGGACCCGTTGTACCGAATGCAACATTGCTCTGCTATTCCGATTTGAAAAATTCTTTTTGTATCGGACAGTGCATATATCGTGGAAGGCTATAGGCTATATATTACCCGGCTACGACCAGTAGCAGAATGAATGAAATCGATGAATAATGTTGCAAAAACGGGTAAAAATATTCCATTTGTAAGATCCGTTGCATGCGCTGCGTAAACGGTTAAAGTTACACAAAAAACAAGTATGACGGAATTCTTTCCCTTTAAAAGTTCTGTAAAAAAAAGCCTACGACAGCCTATGTCTATATTTTAAGTTTGACTCACTATAAATAAATCTTTTTCTTCAAATTAACGAGGGTGAAATCGCAGGGGACCTCTAGTTGTGACATAACTCTTATAGTTAGACATATGGTATCGCAGACTTTTTTGTAGATATTGGTATCCTCTATAAAACTTTAGTACATCACTTTGCTCTATTGTCAATGACTTCCGCAGCGTACGCAATATAAGGATATTTTTAGGTATTTTTTACACACGTTGCGTTACATTATCGAAGTTTTCATACGGAACCCTAACTTTTTTGAAAATACACTATAGCCTATATTTATCAGTGATAATGTAGCATTCAATTGGTAAAAGAATTTTTAAAATCGGTCCAGTACTTTTTGAGCCAATTCGTTACAAACATACTTACATACAAACCTTTCCTCTTTATAATATAAGTATAGATTAAAATAAAGTTTCATTTTGAAATTGCTGTGCGTTGCGTGGTTGCCTCCGATGTGCAACAAAGCTGCTAAACCGAAATCGCATTCACAAACACCGGTTGCCTTTCATTGTAACACACATCTGACAGCCTGCTGGTGTTGTAAAACAAAGTAAATATTCACGATAAGGTATTCGTGACGAGACGGCATACTGCGCCCCGGGCGACGGCCCTGGTAAATGGGGCCCAAGAACTGAATACGTGTTGCAAACAAAAGAATCACCGAAAAGAGTTGACTGACAGGCAGGCAGGTACCTACCTACTTTGTTGACGAGTTAATTTAAATTAAGAACTATCAAAACAAATGAGCTCTCCAAAAGTTCGAGAAAACTGATCTCTGACTGTGGAGAAATCGAAAGCTATCCAACGAATTGGATTATGATAAATGAGTCGCACACTTTTTATTTACCTAAACGGTTTCTAATTTCTATTCAACTTCCGCACAAATCAAACTTATTTATTGAAATTCTTTTATGATTTAGCTCTAAAGTTCATTAACTTACTTGGACGACCTCCGTGGACGACGCCGGGTTTTTCAAGGTGTCGCCTACTCGAGAGGTCCCGGGTTCGTATCCCGGTGGGGGCAGATGTTTGTGTGACGAATCCGAGCATTTGTACTCCAGTCATGGATGTTTAATATGTATTGCTATATAAATATACTTATATATGTATCAGTATATGTATTCTATCCGTTACCCTAGTATCCCATAACACAAGCCTTGCAGTGCTTACTTTGGGGCTAGATTTGGTGTGAGTGTTGGAAATATTTATATTTATTTATATATTTATAACTGCGGTCGTTCGAACCACACTTCTTTGGTAATGATTTTAATAGTAGTGAATTTCACAAGTATAGTCTTGACTTATTAATTTTTAAATTAATTAGGATTTCAAGGTGTCACGTATACTCAGAGGTCCCGTGTTCGAGTCCCGGTGGGGCAAATGTTTGTTTGATGAATTCGAGCATTTTTACCCAAGTCATATTAATGTGTATGTCTATAAAAACATACTTATATGTATCAGAATGTGTATTCTATCCGTTACCCTAGTATCCCATAACGCAAGTCTTCAGTGCTTACTTTGGGGCTAGGTTAATTAGTGTAAGTGTTTGGAATATTTATGTATTTTATAAGATTACTTACCAATTCTAGTAATTTATATTATTTATGGGATTGCTATCATGTACCTTGTTTTTAGCGAGTCTCCGATATTTGGGCACCGTTGTAAGCGCCCGTATGTAACATTAATTTAATAACTATAATATTAGTGGCCATGCCTGTTGAAAACAATATACTAAACAATTGCTTATTTAACGCGAGATATATTTTATTTAATTCAACACGCTTCGAGAGTTTAGCGTGACGGCTGCGCGTACGCACCTGCACGACAGCCGTGAGATGTGAACTGACAGGGAGAACACGAGACAGACAACCGAATATAATTGTAATTACTAAGAATGCGAACGGATCGTTTATTTAGTTTTATTTGGAAAATAAGTTATTTCGATAGAGGCTGATAACGCATTTGCAGCTAACTGGCCAGTAAAGTTAACCTCTACATGGTGAATTGACTGCTTGTTTCACTTTACTACATTTTTTTATCCTTGGAAATATTATCGATTGTATAATTTGGAGATGTAACAAAAAAAATGTTTTAAAATAAAATACCATCACTCACCGCTCCCGGTCCTTCACTCGCGACCCCCGGTCCTTCACTTGCAACTCCCGGTCCTTCACTCGCGACTCCCGGTCCTTCACTCGCGACTCCCGGTCCATCAGGCACCGCTCCCGGTCGAAAACTTAAAACCAAGTCCACAGCCACCGTCGTGATCGCCTAGCCTAGCTGTCCATTTAGCCACTCAGCTGCTTTTGCACTTAAATTTTTTTCGCATAGCTCCCTCCCATTCACCATACCGGGCGAAAAGGAAGTTGGTTCCAAAAAAACCAGCCTGTTTATATTAGTGAATGTGACTGTTGTCCGCAGTGACGGAGAGCCTGTTCTCCACATCGCTGTCGACTTTCGGCGTGCCCACGCCGCCGCCGAACTCGCCCTACTCGCCGCTGCAACTGGAGGTGCTCAACTGCTCGCAGCGGCTGGTGCTCGCTGACAAGTAACTATCTAGAAAAAAATAATTAATTAACAAAAATTATAATTGGTCAGTGCATTCGCCCGGATTGCGAAGGGTGCGGGTTCGAGTCCCGTCTGCTGCCTGGTCCGCGTGGAATTTTTTGTAGTTATATTTTCTTTAGATTTAAACAGGTACATGCTTTAAAATAATAAAAATTATAACTATAATTGCTATTTCTTCTTTCAAATGTTTAATACTTATAAAAGTATTCATTTGACATTGTTGGTTACCTATAATGCGAAGAGATGGCGCTGCCTTGCAGTTTAAGAATGGCTAGAAGAATTTCGACGCAGTCCGTGAGGTCCGCGGTAGCATAATTGGTCAGTTCAGTGCATTCGGCCGGATTGCGAAGGGTTCGAGTTCGAGTCCCGTCTGCTGCCTGGTCCGCGTGGAATTTTTTCTAGTTATATTTTCTTTAGATTTCATGCTTTAAAATAATAAAAAATATAGGTTACTATCTTTCAAATTCTTTGGGAAAGCAAAGTGTAGTGTACCCACAGACATAGGCTAAGAATTCACTGAGCGGTGTTTCCCGCACCCGCCGCGGACGGCCGCAAAGCTGTTTTATTTCAAAACTCACGAGACCGCAGTTTTTGCGGTCCCGCAGCCTTCACATTCTACGCGATTTGCGGTCCTGCAGTCGCGGCGGGCGAGGGAGAAAATCGCGGTGTAAATTCTTAGCCATAGTTGATGCACTAAGCAACACTCGCATGAAATTGCCAAATTGATGCCTGGAACATTTGCAAAGTCCCGCCAGAAAACAGCAATAACAAACAACCAAAATATAGTGAAGCCGCGGGCAGAAAACCTCTTTAATTATGTATTATATGTGCTAGTTAGGGTACAGATCAAATAACATATTGCCATTAGATGTGCCAATTATAATGGCAGGAGATGTCTGCCCTTTAGCAATCGTATCGTAAACTAACATACACTGACGGCCAATTACTTACACCACAAAAACTAGCCTGAAAGATTTATACTTCTGGTGTGAATGGATTACTCCATAAACGGTGACGCGTAAACGAGATTTTATTGACATGCTCGTTTGTACTGATTGATATTGATTATGTGGGGTTACAATCATTATGTGTGTTTGTGCAAGAGCAATACATGATACTGAGACAAACTTGCCGAATAGACAAATACCAAATTAATATTAATGAGCAATTGTTTATGTAAAACTAAACAATATTGTCCTTTGAGTTCTTTATAAGTATCCAATGAATACATATCTAATATATAAAATTCTCGTGTCGCGGTGTTTGTGGTTAAACTCCTCCGAAACGGCTTTCCCGATTCTCATGAAATTTTGTCCTACATATTGGGTAGGTCTGAGAATCGGACAACATCTATTTTTCATCCCCCTAAATGTTAAGGGTAATCCACCCCTAAATTATTTTTTTCAATTTTAGATATTTTTCTTTTTTATTTTTTTTATGATACAGCATTAGTAAATACATATAACCCTGAATTTTCAACCCTCTACCACCAACTCTTATTTTTATGGCGGTACGAAGTTCCCTGGATCAGCTAGTTTTTATATAGATTGCATGATTTGGTGTAAAATGATAGCGAATTTGTATATTTGAAGACCTAGTATAACACACATAATAAGTCATAACACTATTTTAATAATATTGTAATTCACTAATTATTATAAAATTCTATACCTAATTTTATTTCGAAATTAGACATCCAGATTCGTATACTTTTCTTTAGTCCTTAATAAATCCTCAAACTATTGAGATATAAATTTAAAATTAAATGAAGTCTAAACTTTGTTTATCTAAACTTTATTGTATTTTGTGTCAGGGAGCCTAATAAGATGGATGAGGCGAAACTCGGCAAGTGTATGCCCGAGCTGTGCTGTCCAGGGGACCGACAGGTCATCGACGGCTTGTCCATGATGCAGCCGCTCACCATCAAGACGGAGCAGGCGAAGAGGTCCTGCAACACGTGCCTAACTAATTCACCCAAAAAGGTCAGTTACTTCTGCGCATTACCAACCCAATAAGATGGATGAGATGAAACTAGGCAAGTGTATGCGCTAGCTGTGCTGCCCAGAGACCTGCTGGTCATTGACGGCTTGTCCATGATGCAGCCGCTCACCATCAAGACGGAGCAGGCGAAGAGGTCCTGCAACACGTGCCTCACTAATTCACCCAAAAAGGTCAGTTACTTCTGCGCATTACCACCCAATAAGATGGATGAGATGAAACTAGGCAAGTGTATGCGCTAGCTGTGCTGCCCAGAGACCTGCTGGTCATTGACGGCTTGTCCATGATGCAGCCGCTCACCATCAAGACGGAGCAGGCGAAGAGGTCCTGCAACACGTGCCTCACTAATTCACCCAAAAAGGTCAGTTTCTTCTGCGCATTACCACCCAATAAGATGGATGAGATGAAACTAGGCAAGTGTATGCGCTAGCTGTGCTGCCCAGAGACCTGCTGGTCATCGAAGGCTTGTCCATGATGCAGCTGCTCACCATCAAGAAGGAGCAGGCGAAGAGAGCCTGCAACACCTGCCTCACTAATTCACCCAAAGAGGTAAGTTACTCCGGCGCATTACCACTCAATAAGATGGATGAGATGAAACTAGGCAAGTGTATGCCCGAGCTGTGCTGCCCAAGGGACCGGCAGGCGATCGACGGCTTGTCTATGATGCAGCCGCTTACCATCAAGACGGAGCAGGCGAAGAGGTCCTGCAACACCTGCCACACTTATTCATCAAAGAAGGTCAGTTACGAGTACTGCGGTTTTTAAGAAAAATCACGCCATCAGATGGTGTCACAGTATAAATTCAGAATTTGTATTGATTTCACGTCTTGACAGATACGTGGACCTTACTGGTCAGTGCTTCTATTCTGGAAAATGTTCATTAGTTATAATTTTATTATTTTAAAGCATGTAACTGCTTGATGTTTAAATCTAAAGAAATGTTCATTACTTACGAATGAAACCAAAAACCAATGACAATGAGAAGGAATTGAGCGATACTCGCGTGAATTTGACAAATCTCTAGAAAGAGAGAAAGCGATGGTACAGCCTATACCAAGTAATGGCCGTACGTCGGTTGGTGTCGAAAAATTATAACGTAATCGTAATGTAATAAGGCATTGGGAAGGCATCATTCATTTTTTCCATTAATGTTATTTCATTTAACATGATGTCAGATGATCTCAGATAAGGATTGATAAGCGAACAATATGACTATGCAGATGATAGATGATAGGTATTTATTTGTTATGTGTGATTTGACACGATCCATTTCACTACCCAGGTTATCCACTCGGACGGTGGATGCAGCCGCACCAACCCGGTGACGTGGCTCGGCGTGGCCGGCCAGAACGTACAGGTGCAAGTCAAACGAGAGCCACAGCAGCTGCATATGTCTGAGCTGGTGGCCGTCAAACTGGAGCAGGCTTCTCCAGGGAACAAGCCTGAGCATCCGCCGATACCAGCGTCTCTTAACAATGGTGAGTTCTTTTAAAGTAAGCGCGTTCTATCGTTTACACCACGGCTAGTGATCTGAGGAGATCTTTTACCTTATGTCACCTTCCCCTTTCCTTCAGCGGACCACGCGCGCTGAGTTGTGAGTTGTTACTAGTGTTGCCAGGTCCGATATGTTTTAAATCGGTATAAGAGGTCAAAAAAATCGGGATTTAGGGTTGCAGATCGGCACAGTAAACAAAAAACAAGGGATTTTTAAGTCTGGGTATAATTAATTGCGTTTCAAACTACTAGTGCAAGTAAAGTATTACATTAATTGCCTAAATTTCATTTTTTGATCAATCGGGACATTTAGCGTCCCGATCAGGTTCAAATCGGAACGCGTCCCCAGACTCCTGAAAATCGGGATATCCCGGGTAAATCGGGACACCTGGCAACACTAGTTGTCACCGACTTGCTGTGGCCACTATTCCAACACGAACAAAGAAATTTGGTGACTCATTTCAACATTTCTTTGTCGTACGATCCCCAAATGGAATATTTTGCCCGCTCACGTGTTCCCTCCTTTCTATAATCCGGGATCCTTTAAAAGAGGTGTGAAGAAGCAACTTGCAGGCCAGCAAGGTAAGGATGGCTGCTGTGGTAGGTGAAACTGCCGTCTATCTTCGCGTCTGGACTCCAACATCACTTAACATCAGGTGGGGTGGAGTCATTTGGTGGACCTAGTTATAATAAAAAGTACTGACGTAATCATCAGGCTGTTAATGTCTCTACTGCTAGGGCATTAGGTCACCCTTTTTATTATAAACAGAAAGACATCAGAAGATCTGGAGTTGTTTTTTTGATTCACTCGCCTGACAAAGTATCGTCGAATGCGATTTAAGTCACTTTCGAATTCCAAGGCATGATACTGATTTTCCGTATTTTTGAATCGTTCATCTACAGTGTTACCTGTTTAATACATTTTTTTTATTAATTTCACGGAAAAAGTTAAAAAACTGTCATTACCGCTGTGAAAAATATACCTTTAATTCTCAATATCTGATTATTTATTTTTTTGCCTTCAGGCCATTACCCAAAATGCACGCCTTGTTAAGATTAGTGTGCTAACAACAGTACGTGCCTTCTGAAGTACAGAGAAATTTGAAATAATAAAGTAACTTATAATTTATTGATGCTCACCCGATGACGACGACATGTACTAAGTTTCTACAGAACATATTAGCCACAACACATCTCTTCATTATCAACATGATAAGTACTAGGACAGCAGAAGAAAAAAAAATTGACACACCTCCTTCTCGGATTGTGTGTGTGTGTGTGTGTGTGTGTGACACACACACACACACACACACACACACACACACACACACACACACACACACACACACACACACACACACACACACACACACACACACACACACACACACACACACACACACACATATATATATATAGCGAGTGACGCATTTCCATTTATTTTTTTCATAGGATTTTTCCATTTACACCCAGTCCGAAAATAAGTTTAACTTCAAAAAGCTCTTGTGGATTGAATGATGTTTGAAATTTAATTTATAAATAATAGCATTACGAGTGCTTTATAGCAAACGAATCAGTGTAGATTATTAAAAAAAAACGCAATTTTGAAAATTAAGTCATTAGAGCTGTAAATTATACCAACTAGAACAACAACAGAACTTTTTTTTTTTTAAATTCCCATCCCAGCTTAACACAAGGTTATCATAAATGGGAATTTTCTTGGTTTTCATGAAAGTTTTGAACAAAACAGAAGAACGTGATGTTTTGTTTGTTAATTTGGTAGAGTTTTTCATGAAAGCATTCTGCTAATTGTGTCCTTCTAACTTGCCTAAAGCCTTTGTAAGACCACAAACCTGTTATTATTTATTTTTTGTGAAGGCAACTTTCACAGCTTTAGATTTAATTAAACAAATTTTGTTTTGTATTATACTTTTTGTTTAACTATTATACGGATTCGTATGCCTAACTTTATTTAGGGAATTTCATGTTTGTTCAGTGTATTTCATGTTGTGCTATTATTAAATCGAGGTTTCTTTTTAACACGTCCATAATTATGGTGTTTGACATTTTCCTATTATACACCTCTGGAATCTATAACGCGGTTCGTGTCTGTATATAGTTGAGTTATCCGCTAAATTTAAATTTCGAACGAATAGAATCATGCCAGCCAGCCCCTCTAGCATGACCACCGAACCGGGATCGAAAGCAATATATCGGCATTTTTTTTTCTAAATGGCTTTGCACGGCTTGTGCATTTAGCCAATGTCAAGTGTTAAAATATTTATAAATTCTACAGCACTCGTGGTCAAAGTAATAAATCAAGTCAAAGTAAGTGGCAGTCAAGTCAAACCCCCTTTCCCTATGTTTCAGTAAATGTGTGGGGATTTACTGGAACCTCCCCGTGGATTTCTTGAGGGAACGTCGAAAGACACTTTCCGCTATTTTTTTTCACTTGCCAATACTTGTGCATGTTCCCGAACACTTAGTGGTTAATAATCCACCATTATTAGACACTAACATCCGCCACAACACAATTTTTAACAAGAAAAACAAAACTGCTAAAGTGACGCTTCCCGATCCCGCCAAAAAGTCCTTAAATATCGGCATTAACTGTCAGACTACAGTGGAGTTTGACAGTAGTCTGACAGTTAATGCCGATATATCGCTTAACATATCCCGTTTCGGTGGTCATGCTAGAGGGGCAGGATGCCTTAAATAACATGCCAATATATCGTCAAATGAATAAAACCTCTTTCTGGTAATATTCATTGAAGTAGAGAAGAAAATCGAAAGTGCCCGTTTTTAAATATTCTACTTCATAGTTTACTTTCATACACCTTTCGAATCTATAACGTGGTTCGTGTCTGTCTGTAAGTCTACACAGAGTTGTTTCCATTTTTTTGTTTTCTCTTCTGATCCAAGCCTAGGAGCTTGATCATTTAGTAATTTGTGGTCGCTAAATCCGAATCCGGGGTCAGATTTTGAATTGCGGTCCACACAGCGGATCCACGTGGTAACAGATCCAATTTTTGAAATTTATGAGGTCCAAGGGCGGTGAGGACCGTAAGGTTCACCTAAATACCCGAAAAACTTTTTTTTGATTTTTCTTAATAACATATTAAGATATCATAAATAAACTACCAAACAACCCAGATTCGCACGCTCGTTCGCATCAAATTTGAAATTTATAACGATTTTGTTTTGTATAGTTATGCCGTAACAGCGCCTACGACCTACTAGGTATAAATAGTTAGAAAACATGATTACTAAACACGTAGAAAGGTAGTGCTATAAATAAATAATTATTCTTCTATTCCGACTTACTTCTAATATTATAAATGTGAAAGTATGTGCGTTTGTTACTCAATCACGCAAAGACTACTGCACGGATTGGATAGAATTTGGTACGCTTAAAGTTTATGACTTGATTCAGACATGATTCTTTGAATCACGCTAGTGTTAATTTAGTTCGAAATTGAGTTTAATTCTAATAGCGCTTGCTAAATTGCGCCCAACATTATTACAAAACCAAAGAGCACAATCAATAATGTCATTCGCTTCGTCTGTTATTTATTTAAAATGCTATAGTTGCGAAATTGCGTTGCAGCGTATGTTATTTTTTTCCAACTCAGCCTTCAACGCCTCAAGCGTTGGCCGGCCTCACTGGCAATTTGAAATTCGAATACGCCCCACTATTATTATGACCCGTCTTATCAATTCCAATGCTATGCGCGCGTATGATGTCAACACTGCTAATAGTTCCATCGTGCTCATGTCCGCCTAGTAGATCGACGTCCCTGATATGAGAGACAACGATGTAACTGAAGGTGTGCGAAGAGGCACACTAATTCCTCTCGTTCTGATCTGCCTGTTTTTTCTATACCTATACCTACATAATGCTTATGTAGCATTGGTAGAACGTTGCGTAAAAGTCAGTATGGGGGAGCGAGCGAGCGAGCAAAAAAACAACGAATTATTTTTTCTAGTTGTCTTACTTAATAAGTTTTAAGAAAATAAATATGTGTTCCTCGAATTTTACTAGGAAAAGCAATAAGTAGGTCAATGTTTATTTTGCATTTGTGGTAATTCCAAGAAAGAATATTCTGAGAAATAAGGAAAACATACAATCTTGTAAATAATATCTACCTACCTATACTGTTTTTACGTACCTATTGAGTTTTTGTGTAATAGCTAAAAATATTAGGTGCAAAAATTAAAAGGCTTGCAATCAAGGGTGACTCGGGAGCCTTGTTGACGACTGGTGATATTGATTTTATTGTTTGTTTACAGGTTCGATTCCCGTTGGCATTGCGGTTGCCCGTCAAAGGGTCGGCGATGCAGGCCTTCTAGCCGCCCTTTCACAAAAAGACAATCAGCAACGAATGCACGATATCGGTAAGTTTCTGAATTAAACAGAAAACCTTTTCCAACGGCACATACTGCGTTGTTTTGTTGTCTTCCGCAGTTGTGCTTGTGTAGTGTTTGTGTCACGCACACACACGATACGTTTCATGTTTGGAATGGCCTCTATCTGCTATTGACAGTTCAACGTCGATGCTTGCGCCATCGACTTTGGCCAGTGTTCGAACAACCTCCTGGCCGACTCTGTTTGCCTGGTACTACTATGTATTTACTGTGATGCGCTTGGTAATGAAAAAACAGTAAATTAAGCTTTATCCGAAGGCCACGTCGTGAATAGTTGTGTATTCGTATAGCCCGAGGAATAAGACAACATTTTGAGTGTTTCTAGATCGGCAAAAACAATTTACAGGTTGCTCCACTTTTTGCATAGTCTTTCGTCTTTTATTTTCGAAATAATATGTAGAATTTAGTCAGGCATACATCCATCTTTTTCCAAAACTTTGAGTGCTGTTACTCCTGAAATTGTGTAATTGAATGCGCGTTTCTAACGATATCGCGGCATCGCCGAATCGCAGCAATCACGCGAGCCAAGCGGTCGCGTATAAATATCACCTTGACTTATGACGAGCCGTGCCTGGATAAATAACTCCACAGTACTGCCTGCTATTAAATCAGTGACTGTTTGGAAAACTAGTATAAATCTAGTACTTTTTAAAGGCGTTTCCTTCATTCGTTTTAAATACATAATACACATAGGTATTAATATCAAATTTTGAAGAGACGTAGGGCACAGCGGATTTTCCGCTCGAATTGAAGCGCCCATGCGAGCGCGCCCAATGGGAAAGCAACTTCCATCTTACAAAAGACTAGGGATGCAAAGTCTTTTGAAATATCGATATTTATATCGATAGTTATATCGAAGTCAGGAAAATATCGATATCCGATATATCGACCATTTTAACTCGATATTATCGATATATCGATATTTTTTCCTTTTTATTTTTTATTGATATTAGCATACTGGGTGAGTGTGACACATTCATGTCTGTTGGCGAGTTTCTCGCAAAATGCATTGAGCCAGCTTTTTCGTTAAACACGCTTGATGAAATCGCGCCAAGCAGGATTTTTTTATTGGCTCGCACGGTTTGTGTTTCAGCCACGACAGGAAACCAAAAAAATAAAATTATTATCCTGATCAGATCACTTACATTCGTTAGCACGAATGCGCCAACCCGCATATGTGGGACGACATTTGCGAATGCTTTCGCTAAGTTTTCACTACCTTCGTGCTTTTCCAAGCTATGTCGGTTTTTTCGCGCACATCAAATACGCAAATTGCTTAGTCTCCCACACAGCAGGGGCGTGCCCATGGCTTCAGAATAGGGTAAGCCCAAAGCTTCCAAAATTACTATACCTATCTTACTTTCTTGACTTGGCGAGCTTAAAAAAATGTACGATTTATATAAGATTCTTAATTTTATTTTGTGTTATATTACAATGATATTAAATTCCAATTAATCAGTAGTTGACAATTATCTAGAAAGAGAGGCAATGATTTTATTTAAGTGCATGAGTTACCATTAGGTATACGATTGTACCTATATACGTTAGTGTCGATTCTGGCATGATTATCTAAACTTAAAACTAAATTTAACATCAGTCTCTCCTTTTCATTCTGTATAGAGAATGACAAGGATACACTGTTGTCAATTTAATTTTAGGTTTAGAGAATCATGCCAAAATAGTATACTAGTTTAGTATATTTCTTGGGGTTCAAGATTCTTTTAATACATCTATAATCTCTTGCGATTTCAAAGCAATAGTTATTTCGATATTATTCAATTTAGATAGTCATAGCAGGTAAATTAATTGATATTGTTGTGTTCAAATTTAGTCTACGAAATATCGATATTTTGGAATTTCCGATATCGATATTATCGATATCAGTGAATTTTAAATATCGATATAAATATCGATATTTTGGTCTCGATATTATCGATATTCCGATATATCGTTGCAACCCTACAAAAGACTAAGGACAGAGGACGTTATTCCAGAAGAAGACCAGAGAACCAAGTCAAATTCAATATTATGAAGAACTTGTTCAGAGTTCTACCGATCTCATCTTAGAACAATAAGCCTCGAAGCAATTTATAGATTTGGCCGGCGATAACGAATATTTATGTAATTGCATCTTGCTCGTGTTTATACATATGTGTATAACGCAGTCTACCACTGTGCATGCGTCGGTGGGAGAATGGTCAATCGATCACCATTAGCTGCGTCTCCTTTAGTGTTAATTGCAACATGTAAATACTCTTCGAACGCAGTTTGGCTTGCTTCAACCGAATGAAAGCTAGGCATGTCGTTTCGATTTTGACACAAGCGACCAAATCAAATAGTTATTGGCCTTTTGACGAATTTATCAAACAATAATGTACCCAGTTGACCTTATTAGTAGTTTTCTTACCTGAAATGAAGACAATTAAAATTTGTTTACTATAATGCGATTCAACTAAGAATAGGACCGACTGGGCGCCATATTGTGAAGTCATAGCTGTCAATTCAAACCAAATAGGTAGAGTGAGTAAAAAAAGGTTTTATTTAATAAAACTCATTTACTAAGATTAAGTGAGAAAAAGCATCAGATTTATTTAATAACATTTATTTACTAAGATTGAGAGAAAAAAACCACCGATTTTTAATAATATTTATTAAAACTGTGAGAAAAACCATTAATCAGAATCTAGCTCTTCTATTCCGCTCATCTCTGCATTACCGCCGGAGTAGTTATGATAATAATATAATCATGCATTATTACTAGGTCACATACGAACATACATCCTTTATGTAAACGAAAGTTTGAAATCGAGTTTCTGAACGCAACTTAAAGTGACATTTGGTTGACGATTTAGGTTATCCACCATTCATGACCAAAGCTCATTAGTGAAAAAAAAGATCAACCGATATTAATTATCAATATTTGTTATTGTTTGTTTACAAATGTTTGGTTTTTGTTCTTGAATTAGCGGAGTGCTAAAAAAGGATTCCAAGATTTTAATGCAAATCGTACTTTTCAGGCGACATTTGACAGATAGAGGTCATTGGCTTTCCTATTCTTATTTGAATCGCATTATAGAAGGAAAATTCACGTCCGTATTCCCCGAGGAGCTCGATGGCGCAGGTGGCTAGCGCGTTCGGCTGCGATCGTTGAAGTTAAGCAACTTTCGCAGTGGTCGGTCATTGGATGGGTGACCAAAAATTTACTATCTCGAGCTCCTCCGTGCTTCGGAAGGCACGTTAAGCCGTTGGTCCCGGCTGCATTTGCAGTCGTTAGCACCCACCAATCCGCACTGGGCCCGCGTGGTGGGTTATGGCCCTATCTCCCTATTCCATCCATAGGGAAGGCCTGTGCCCCAGCAGTGGGGACATTAATAGGCTGATGATGATGATGATTCCCCGAGGAAGTGGACGAAGCCGTGTGATCACTATGTCGTCGAAGGTTACTTTATCATAATATTTGAAATAGGTTAAGATTGGTTTCCTGGTCTTTGTCCAATATTCTCACAGTCAACCCTAAGACACTGAGAAAATTACGAGTGGTTATTTTTGGAAACCTAACAAATGCAGTAATAAAGATTTATGTCATGTTTAAATAGAAACTATGAAATTGATACTTACGATATTCCTCATGTCCTTGCCACAAATCACAACTTTTTTGTTTGTCGTCAGCATTCTATGTTTTAGAATTGTAGGTATATGCTATTTTCCCATGATTTTCCCACAATGTTTTTGTTAGATTTCCTGTAATTTGGATTGAATGTCAAACAAATAAGTTTTACGCATGCGTCTCGTTAGTTATCAATTCCAGAAGATGGCGGAATAACAAACTTTATTTTTTAAATATTTCTTATTTACTTTTTCTCGGTGACATCTAAAAAAAACTTTCAGTAAACCTTGTCTTGACAATAAGGAACACAATAATAAAAACGAGCGAGTCTTACAGTAGTCGCGTATGATGTGTAACATTTAAAACCTCACCTTATATTAGTAAAAAAAGAAATAAAACCTACTACAAAAGGAATAAGCCATTTGAACATTATGTTCTAAAATCAAATCAAATAGCGCGCGCTTTCGCGACTTCCTGTTACACACTTCCGTCCCATTTCACGAAATCACTCCCACAAATTGCAGGAAAGCGAGAGGAAAGATGTTACACGTCAAAAAGAATTATCTGATATGGTTTAGTCGGTCGAAATCGGAAGTTATGCGCGTACATAGTTTTCGAGGATTCATCTTTATATATATAATTCTTCTGTGAGTGTGTATGTCACTGAACTTCTCTTAAACGACTGGACCGAGTTTGATGAAATTTTTTGTGTGCGTTCAAGGGGATCTGAGATTGGTTTAGATTCACAATTTTGTCCGCTGGACAACCCCTATTTTTTTAGGGCGGTACGAAGTTCGCTGGGTCAGCTAGTTTTGATATATAATGGTATATATAACAGCGAATATCTCAGCACTGTTATTTTCCTGCTCAGTTCTAAATAAGTTTCTAATTGAACCATCCATCGCAGAATTTTCCCTTTAGCCATTAAGCAGCGGGAGGCCGGGGCACCGTCCGTTTTTTTCCTTGTTTTTACATTGAAAACTATCGGAGCGATATACGCATAATTGCGGTTTTCCTTCAACAGTGCCCTATAAGCTGACATTTAATTTATGGTGCTTAATGGTCATGGTGTATGCCTTCGTAATGAGATTTATGGCACAAAGGCCGTTTGTATCCTACAATCATATGCTAATCAGATATAATATCGTTGCTTTATCATATATTACTTGTTTCATAAAGCATTAAGGCTATTAAAAGCGTTCATAAAAGCTATATAATGGTGGTGCCATTTTCAGTAATACGATTTACATGACCGGACCGGCACGATTACGACAGTCTTATAGATCAGACATTATTAGAGTTATAATTTTACAGACACAGTAATGTTAAACAATTTTATTGAAGACATAATACCTATACGAAG